TAATAAAATGTCTTTCTCCATAAGAGATCGTATATCAAAATGTGTATTTAATAAAAAAAAAAAAAAAAAAAAAAGAACATATTCGATACATGATTTTCCATTAAACTGTTACAAAGGATGTCACTTCACTTTGAATTACTTCCAGCAATCTAAAATGACAGACTTTAGTCAAATAACATACTGATAACACCCACTCTTGACAGGGACTTTGAGAGCACTTGAGAAAGAAAGAAAAAAAAAAAAAAAGACTTTGGATTCATAACTTCAATCTCAATGTATCACATCTTATCCAGAAATTAGAAAGATATAATAAAAGTTAAATATAAAGATCTTGTTGCTCGAATATAATAAAACTTGTTCAACTAATATATATTAAACCAGATTTGTTAGCTATCTTGATGTTTTTGACTTTGAAAAAAAAAAAAAAAAATACAATCATCCGTTTTACAGGTTCAGTTAGAGTTTGAATACTAAACAACCATATACAAATCAGCTCAAGTGAACTGTATATCCTTATAGCATGAAATGAAAAATAATTAATATTCCAATTTATTACCTGACTGGGTGTTTGAACACCTTGAAACATTTTACCAACACTGAGATCAGTACGTCTGTCACCGAAATAGTCAAGTACATCCTACATAAAAAAAAGAAGATTTTAGAGTTTTAAATATCAATCACTGAATTGTCTCATTAATTTTATAAATACATGCAAACAGACTTTTCAAATTTAACCAAATTTTTAAACATTCTAATCTTCCCCGATCAAAATCCATTTTATATAAAATGGGGTTTTCTGTCACAAAAAAATGTTTAAAATGTCATTTTGTTTTTATTATAGTTTTATCATTTTGATTATAACCAAAAATCATTTCTTTTGTCACCAAGAAACAAGAATAAATAAATATAAAGGAATGCTCTGGAAATAATGCCTGCTATTGCCACAAAAGTTATAACAAATTCAGGAAATGCAACACCACCATTGAATAGAGCAAGTTTTTAGCTACAAAGACACTTTTTCTACAGAATCAAATTAGCTTGATATTTTCACAAGTGATAATGAAGAGCCTTCATACTATACTTGTAAAAATCTGCATCAGTAGACATGACCCACTTTTTCATAGCAGCAATGATGACATTGTCAGGAAAACATTACGCATATAGTCATATATTTCATCAGCCCAAACAGATAAAAGTCAAAATGTGCTGTATCCCAGCCATACAGTAGATGTGGTAAAATGACAATTCAGTTAAAATTTGCAACATGGTTTTCAAACTTGTTTTCATATTTGATAAATGAAAAGCAATCTTTTTTTGACCTGAATCTTGAAATTTGGGCCTTCAGCTTGGTCAGAGTTGATGGTTTGACCAGATTCCAGAGAATCCAGACAGATCATGCCTTTTCTATTCCAAAAGGACAGTGCACATCACTTTACTTGCATCTTGAACATTTTCATTGATGGAGAATTTGCATGTCACCACTCCTGGTACTGTCATTTGAATTCCAGTTCATAGTGATAATGCGCCTTGTCACCAATAATGATGCAATCTAGGAAATTCATTTTTCCCCTTGTAGTGATTTAGCAAGTTTTGACCAATTTGCAGTTAATAGTCTTTATTCTTTTGAGGGTATTTGTGGAAACCACCCGACATAAACATATTTGAAATAATGTTGACAGTGTTTAAGTCAATAATCAACTCTATACACAACTCCTATTTTCAATATCTGTCTACTAAGCCAGCGAAGCATAAAAATGAATATACTATGGGAACCAGTAATAAGGAGTGCTAGAGAAAAGCAATAACAAAATTGCAATATGAGCTCTGGTAAAAAAAAATCATTACTGAAACATTAAGTTTATAAGTCCCAAAAATTCATATACTGATTTTCTCAAGGACACGTAGCCGAGTGGATAAAAGCATTGGTTGGATCCAGTGACTTGACCCAAAGAGTTGTGAGTTCAATACCTGGCTACTGCAGCGGTGAACAAAAACTTGGAGAGTTGAGTTAAAGGGAGACAACCGAGACATCCGGGCGAGGCATGGCACGTGGAACTAGAACAATCTACTCTGGCAGCCGAAATAAAGTGTTCAGTTCAAAATTCAAATCACCTGAAGGCGGCTAGAGTGTACAATGGCTGAAACGTGAATATGGAAATAAAAATAGGGATAACAGTCCAAATATTATAAAAAAAATGTACTCATTTCCCTAAATTAAGAGATGTCATTCCATATAGAATGTAGTGGGGGGGGATCTTTCTTTGTGCTTTCAACTAACAATCAAATCTAATATTTACCTCTTTGCTACTTTTTTTTTTTGTCCACAACTGGAAAGTATTTTCCAGGTACATACACACCAGACAAATGCATTAAATATTCTCAAAATAAGATAGAAATATTTTACCTTTGCTTCATCAAAAAGACCACTGTCTATGAGCCAGGTGCAAATAATGGTCCCCGTTCTGCCTTTTCCACCTTTACAATGAACAGCAATGACATTTTTTTTATCAATAGCCATCCACTCGCGCACATTTTCACAAAAGGATGACATGGCACTGCAAGTACAATAGGCATTTAATAAGTGCTTAGCTAATTAATAAACGTTATTTAGAATCAGAAATCCTGTTTGTATCAGTGTGATGTCATCTACAGCAAAGACAAATTTATGTCATATAATATTGATACAGGCTACATTTTACTAATGGAGTACATTGCTATCACTTCATAGCATTAAACAGGAGAGATTTTCTGCACAACCTTTGTTTATAAACAGAATATGATTCTTAAAATTATTTGTATGTTTGAGTAAATACAAATATCAATTCTATTTGGATCCCATTTCTTAAATGGTCAAGAGAAATGCATTCACATTCCTCTGAAGACAAAGATAAATAAAACTGTGTCAGAATGCAATTTACCAATTTAAAGGAAATGCGCAAGAACAAGAGAAAATGAAAAAGAAAATTATTTTTTTTTATGTCAAAATATTCAAGAAATATCAACTTTTGCAAATAAAATTATTCAGTGGCTTACATTAATATGTTTTGTTGTTCATTCAACAACTAAAAAAGTTCATATTTGATTTCTCAGTAATAATCAAACAAAATATGAAAGTAACTAAGGAAACAAAAACTTACTTGTAAGTAATATGACACAATAAGTGCCATAGAATAATAGGAGAAAAATGAAATAAAGTCAAAACTGAAAGTGAAAAAATAAAATAATTGGCACATGGTGAGCTAGAGATTTAAACCTGGAATTAATTGTGCACATCATTCCTCCATGGTTAGGGTTAGGTTGACAAATGTGTGTGTTTATACCAATTATATTATTGTTTTAGCCCTTGTTAACAGATAAGTAATTCAACACATTAAAAAAAGAAAAACAAAAATAAATAGCACAACAAAAATGAATTAAAATTAATAAAAATCATTATTCAACACTTTTTAATGAATTTACAGAATATCATTGGATGCCAATTCTACTTGTGGATGAGAAATAATAGTAGTACATAAGTTGAACAAATAATGGTCAAATGGCTGGAGAGAAATAAAATGGCTAAACAGTTGAAGCAACAGTATCAGAAGGAGAGGAAGAAAAAGCAGCAAACATGGAAATAATAAAGAAAGAGTGAACAGGTAATCGGTGGCAGGGGGTGTGATCAATATTTTTATAACAAAATGCGTTTGATATTTCAATGTTTATACATATACCCCACAAATAACAATTACATATGAGTAATTCTTTATTTTTTTATTATTCAAAAATATTTTATCTTATATATGTTACCTTCTTTGGACTATTTTGTAAAAATAAATAATCAGGAAGCAAGAAATGAATTGTGCTATTTCAGTTTATTTACATAATATTCTATCATAGAAATATTAGTGATTTTATTGTGCATAGCTCAGTTGAAAATAGCTTCCTAGATAAATCTAGAACAGTTTCCTTATACATATTTTTATGAGTATATTTAACAATTTTATTAGCCAGGTCATCCACAGTAACTCCACATTAATTTAGGATAATTCATGGATAATAAAAAAATTTATTTTCTCAAACTTTTTTCTCTAGCTAGATGATGAACAAAAATGTATATTATCTTTCATAGTTAAAAAATAGCATTAGCTTATTCGAAAAAAACAAAAAAAAACAAAAAACAACATCCTCTCAATCAGACACATGAAAAAATTAAACTGTACTTAATCAGCATAATTTTTTAAATTGTCAAATTCAAAATTCAGGCTACTCCTAAAATGTGACAAAGGGCCATAGGTCAGCGTGTGGGTGCACAAAATTGAATTCCAATATCTAAGTTCAGAGTTTTAATAGACAGAAAATAAATCCATCAAAATATCCCAGAAATATCTTTTCTTTAAACCAAATTACTAACAAGACTAAATACAGAACTGACAGTCTGAAAAAATTTGATGATTGATGTCTGCAATTTTTATGAATTTTCAGAATTAAAAACAATACTTTTGAAACTGCTATTACTTTGGCAAAACACATTCAGCAAAGATGCATTTGTTTTAGTCAATTGATCAATAATTCTGTAGCCTGACATGTAATTATCAACAGAATTAAGTTTACTGGCACAGATTATGTTGAAATAATTGCTTTTTTATCACTAGGATCTAGGCTTATTTATTAACCTATGTATATGTAATGCAAAAAAGAAATCACCAATTAAAAATTTGATGTTAAGAAGTGGCAAATCAAATAAATTGTAAGAAACATAAATTGTACTCAAAATTTGAAAAATTTAATGGAAACAATACAAATTTCAAACAAATCTTGAAATATTTTGTGCATATTAAATTTTTAAAAAGATTATTTTTTTTATCAACTACTATATGAACATGATGTTCTGCATTTTATAAATTTTTCTTTTCAGAGCTAACAAGACCATCCTTTTCTTAATAATGTCTGAAACTTGTGATCAGATAAACTTTTTGATACCTATAGACATATTCTTTTGTCTAATGAAGAAAAGAAACTTACGATAGAGTTGGTACGTTGTGATCATCAATAAATATCCTTTCAACTCTGTTATGGAAAAGGCTTTCATCATAATCTTTTTCACCTGTAAAAACAAACAAAAGCATGTATAAATACAACCCAAAAGGTAGAACATTAAGGCTATAAAACATAGGCTTCTAGTCAGGAGAAAACTAGCTAATCATTACAAACTAATTGCTTATACTTTTATTTTATATGACATAGGAATTTGCCCAAATTATTATTGATTATACAATATAATTTATCCAATCACAAATTTTTCCAACATACAAATACCATTGTTGTAAACCCCAAATCTGATTAAAAAAAAAAAGATGCCAAAGATGATGAACAAAAACAACTGGATTCAACTCCCAAAGCAAATCTTTTGCCATACTCTTAAGAAAAAAAAAAGAAAGAAAATTAACAGAAAGTAACTAACAATTGCACTTACTACATAAATTATAAATCTTGTAATGGTCTTTATGCTTTGTTTCAAAGAACCGAACAACTTCCTGCAAATAAAAAATACAAATGAGTGAAGGTATGTAAAGAAAAATTAAAAACAAAGAATACATGCCTTGATATCTAAGTACAAGAAAAGATTGTTATTACACCAATACAAATTAAAGCATGAGAATGGTTTTAGGATATGAATAATTTTAATATTGCTGCTTTGAATTCAGAAGGTGAAATTGATAAAATTTCAGTTCCTTGGCTTTACAAACTTCGAAAAATATAAAAATATTTAAGAAGAAAAATTAATTATAGATAATTATTAGTAATTATAATACACACATTTTCTTTGCTTGATTGTGATCTAAAGTGAAATACTTATTCAGCAGAAATGATTATATATTTAAATTACAACTGCTTTAAAAATTATGCAATATAAATGTCTATATTCATAAACATCTGATAAGTACAGTTTTGAGTCCACTGATTTGTACTTTATATAGAAATAAACATTATTCCCTCATTTCTTATGCTGTCTAAACAAGATTTCTCTCTTTTTCCAAATCAGTACACACAACAAAAGAATACAAACTAAAAAAAGAGAGAAATATTAAAGAAAATACGAAGTTACATGAATTGGGTTGCGGTAAAAGGCCATAATGCCAGCAGAAGGAAAGGACATGGCAATGACTCGTTCTGAAATAAATAAATCAAATAAGTAATGAAGAAAAAAAAAAACAAGTAAAATGAAAACAATAAAATGAGTTATTTGACATTTGTTACTTTATTTCTTGTACAAGGAATACAGAAATTCAAGAATGCTATGAAAATTAAGGAAATAAAGTGAATGTGTTAACAAAAATAGGAACAATTAATTTGAAAAAGTAGATTTTTAATAAAAAATAGTAATTAAAAGGATTATTTCAAAATTCAACTATAGAAATAGAGAAAAATTGGTGTCTAGAAATTTTCAAAGTAAATATTAAAAAAGAAAAAATGTTTCAATTTTTAATAATAATGATTGAATTAAACAACTAAAAAAAAAAATATATCAAGGACTGTAACAATGACTACAAAGTGAAATAAATGAATAGCTAATCAACTCTGGTATTTCTTAAAATGACTTTACCCATTTTCTTTTGTTTTGTTAATTATGTTCAATAAAAAGGAAGCAGATTTTGTCAGGTAAAAGCTGCTGCAAGCAAAAAGAGTCATGCACTATTTGTTTCATTATTAACTGCAACCTTGCAAAAAAGATTGCTCAAAAAAATGTTTCTTTAATCAAGAAATGTAGTGATTGTCAAAAACTTAACGGTTATCCATACAAACTTTTTAGAAGAAAAAATTCTAGAACAACAACTATCAAGAAAATGAAATTCCAGAAAAATTAAGTATGACAACAATAGATCCTCATTCCAATGGAATTGGATATCATCTGAAGAATTCAACTATTTGGCCATAGGTGTAAAAGAATAAACATACAAAAAACGCATTGTTAATAATTTTCAACTTGGTTTAAAGAAAATGCAAGAGTCTGAGAGAAGAAACTAGCTACAAAAATTTGAGGATTCATTTGGCAGTATTCGAAAATGCCAGTCTGTAATTTTTAATCTGCCTTTGACAAGAAGAAATAATTTTAACATTGATATTTTACTTAGAAAATGATAAAAAAGAAAAAAAAAATAGTAGTTTTCATGCCATTTTTAATAGTTTTCTTAAGTAATGATCATTACAGAATATCAATGAAAATATTTTTATAATAGATAATGCAGGTATTCACAAAAGAACTTGAAAATATATTTTTTAAATTTCTGAAAAAAATATCTTTATATATATCTTTATTTGCCAGTGTTTAATCCTAATGAAGAACATTTGCATAAGAAAAAAATCAATAAAAAAATAACATTGCCACCAAAGCAAAAACAAAAAAAATATGAGGTGTCAGGATCCAACACATCTGCTTTTAAAAATGCCACTCACAACACTGAAACAGTCACAGTGAATGGACAAGCTGTCAATGTCACCACTACTGACCTCAGTCAATCTACCTGACAAAGGCATCAACTCCAGGCTCTACTCACTCTTCCCATTCACCAAATCACTTCCCTTGCCCACAAAAAGACATTCTGCCTTGATTCTCTGTATCAGCAATACAAAGAATTTTATCTTAACAATTCTTGACTTTTTTTTTCACCTCAATGGCAGTATTTATTTCAATTCTCTCGTGCTCCCATACATACATTTATAACAATAGTCTTATTTCAATTTTTGTACATTTTCCAAAGAAAATTAATTTTACTTCAAAAGTGGGTAAAGCCAATTTAGAAATATTGTAGATTTAAAATGAAAAGCTTAAAAATTTTCATGAAGCAATCAGATATTTTGATCATTCAATACAAATTAATGAAAAACCAGAAGGGATTTTCCTTTCATCTTACCTGTAATATAACACAAATCTAAATCAAAACTGTCTTTTTGGTATCGTCGTTTGTTTTGTGATACCATTTGTCGTGTAGCATTTGTTAAATGACGGTGTTGAACAATCATTATGTAAATGATTCGACATATTCTGATGATACGGACAACACGACCAATCACAACTAACCTGGATAAAAGAGGAAAGAAACACACACATATATATATATATATATATATATATATATATATATATATATATAAAATGATATATTACTTAATAATTTATATAGTTTTATTAATATATGTTATTTTTAATATAAAATGAATATTAAATAATACATTTCCTAAAAAGTAAAAAAAAATTAAAATAATGTTTTTAATATATAAATTTTGAAATAATTATATTTTTTATATAAATATATAATTATATGTCTTAATTTTATTTAATATAATATTTAATAATAATGTTATTTAATAATGATATAATAATTCATATAATATAATAATTATATATATTATTGATATTTAATTATGTTTCATTTTTCTTTATATTGTTTATTTTATTTATTGGTTTGTACTTATTAAATATTTTATATATTTCTTTATTTAATAACTCAATTATAATATTTTTCTCCATTTTATATGCACTGCTTTATACACATAATCTTTGTAATTTTAAGTGTATATGTTTCTTTTCATTTAATCTTCCTCCATTATTGTTTTTTTTTAATATAAAATAAAAAATCTTCTGATTATTATTTTATAGATGGTAATAGCTTTATTATTTATGTTCTTTTTAATATAAAACGAAGAATATTAAATTATGCATTTCCTAAAAAAAGTAAAAAATTAAAACAATATATTTTTTAATATATAAATAATTTTGAAATTTTATATATTTTCTTTTTAATATAAATATATAATTATATCTCTTAATATTGAAGTAATAGTGAATTTGTTAATACAAGATAAAAAAAATCTTCCCTAATTTCCTATGTCTATTTTCCTAATAGAAACCAAGGTGAATATTCTAATATAAGTCAAGGTCATGTCTATATGCATCTATCTCCTGCCACTATCTTCATGCCTAGATATTACTACTCTTTCTTCACCTTCTTTCTCACTTTTCCTATTTTGTCTTTTCACTATTTTTTTTTTTAACTTTTTCCTTATTTCTGTTTTTCTTTCCTTCTGTTGTATGAGTGTAAGAAAAGGCAAGAAGTAAAGTTTATAAGGCTAAGCATGAAAGATAATGGTTAACCCTAGACTTGATGAGGTCAAGATTGTAGGGATTGGGAAAACATCTTGCCAGGAATCTGTTCCACAAAGAAGTAGCTCTTGGAAAGAAGCTGTCCGAGTGGAACTTCCTCCTTATTAATGGAATATGAAGGGAATGGGGATGATTTGTCCTTGTGTATGTGGTATGGTGGGTCCCAGTTGTAAAGGTCATGGGTGGTGGGAATAAGGAATGTAGATTGTCAGAACACATGTCATTGAAATAGCAATAGAGCAGCAAGATGCTTGGAATATTTCATTTGTGCAAAAAGAGTTGTAGAGTGGAAAATAATTCATCACCCACAAGACTGCATACATGCTTTTGTACTGTATTAAGACAGGCAAGTGAGGACTGGGTAGATCCACCCCAGATATAGCAGCAATAACCTATGAGTATCATTAGTCCTGTTGTTTAACTATATGACAAATGACTTGAAAAGTGAAAAGTCATGCATTACAGAAAGCTAAGAGTTAGGGACAATATTTAACAGAGAATACAATTATGGTCCTTTGATAAAAATCACTTTACCTCCATCATTTGAATCTGAAAAGGATTGAGGTGAACTTTATTAGCATCTATAGCCAAGTTAGTAACTGAATTTTATCTGTATATATCAACTGGTTAACCAAATTATTTCCTCTCATAATGTAGTTTGTTTTTTTAAATAGAAAGCAAAATTTATACTAATTACATTTATAATTGATCTATGCAACCAACATTACTTGATTTGGGGATCAGATATGATTAAACATGTATAGTATTATTTATGCTATAGATATTTGATTTTGTGTATGGTATAAAAAATGTCCCAATGTCCTTTGAGGTGAATCTAATACTTTTAAGCCAATCAAAATCAAGAGAGAAATTCAGTTCCAAATTGCTTTTTTCTGGTGTCTATCCAAAAAACAAATTTTTGATTTTCAGACACTTTGTCAATGACATGATGACCTTGTCAATGACATGATGAGCACCAGATACACTTGAACCATTGTCCAGAGAAGAGACCAAGCAGCAAATTCAAATTGATACAAGAAACTCTGCTACTTAACAAGCAAAACTGTCACTCATCATACACATATTCTATTTGTTAATCTATCAGGACTCAATTAGATTAACACACACAAAAAGGATTACAATAAAAAACATGGTCCAACTTAAGAAAAGGCTATAAAATTAATTTTTTTAATAATGTCCAACAGCTTGCAGCTCAATCAGAAATACATGTTAGATCATCAACATTCTTAAGAGCATGACTTCTAGTTTGTATTCTTATGCACACCAATGACTTTCTCAAAGAGAAAATTTTCTCAAAGAACATACCCACTGAAATCATTTCCAACTTACAAGTTTATCATAAACTAACATTTCTCATTCTGAACAACTTCTAATGAATTATTCAAATTCTATCTTCAATGAATAATTTAAACTCACTTTTTATCCATGTCTAATTGATACAAGGACAGTGACGTAAACATTCTGTTCATTTCTGTATTACCCTGAACCTTGGACAAAGACATCAAAGTATCTTATTAACATAATTCATTTTTTGATGCTAACCTCGACTTGAAGTTGTTTCTGACATATTCAGGAGAGGAAAGCAGAAGATATTAATCACACTTCACTCATTTATCAAACATAACCTTTGTACATCTTACATTAACTACAGATGAAACACAACTTCATAAGATTTTATATTTTGTTAAATATACAAAATTAGAGTCAAATATTGTGAGAAGTGTTTGTTCTTGCCTGATATATACATGCCAACATCAGTAAGTGAAAATGTTTGACAACTTTTTTTTTTTTTTTTTAACAGATTATCAACCTTTAGCAGGTAAAAAAGAGTTTTTAAAAAAAAAGAGAAACGGAAACCATAAACTTGGTTGTAGAACATTAAATTTATTTAGAAACTGCAAGGACTTTACTTTTAACCAAATACAATAAAATATTTATATTGCATCTTTATATGTTAATCTAATTTTGATTATCTATAAGTATTTTTATTTTCTTTAGAGCAAATTAGGTTTTTATGCTTTGAAATTGTTTTGCTGTTAAATGTATACAGACTGAGAAGTATTACAGGCTTTACAAAATTTTGATTATGTAGATTGTGAATACAGAATTTTCTCTCCCTAAATGAACATGTATAAAAATTTTATTTTTCCTTAAGTTGGTCTTTAGTGTAGTAAATAAATGTTTAATCATCTAGGTTGTTTTCCTTTTAACACGAACCTTAAGAAAGGTGTATTTTTAAAACCAGATGGGTTGTAAAAATAAATTGTTGCAGTTGTGTGAAAATTAATTAATTTTTAAAATTAGCAGTTAAAGAATCACCAAAATTATTGTGGCAGATTCATTTTTTTTTTTGAATTTATGGAGAAAAAGTTTTCATATTTACTGACCAATGAGAGACATGCTGTTAAGCCCTTGTGAAAACCTGGATGGATCTGGTGTAACCCTCTATTGTTCAATAAAAAGGATTGCTTTTAGCAGATGCCAGAGAAAGCAATTAATCATCAAAGAGGAAGCATTAGTGCCCACCATGCTTCAAGGATGGAGTATTAGTCCAGTCGAAGTTGTCATAAATCAACACAGGAAAAGAAAGAAGATCTGATAGATTCAAGGAAGATTCAACCCCCAGGACAGAAAATTCCTTTCTGCATCTTCCTAAGAAGAATTTAAATGAAGCAAACATTTAACTTTTCAGTAAAGTATTACATAAAGAGACAACCTGTGGAAAACACGAAACCCCTTCATGCTGAGACATTCCTATTCAGTATTCAATCGAAGAACTTAGGTGGGTACTGTAAAGTTGAAGATGTTATATTATTGTGCTAATTACAAGTGAGGCGCTGATAACTTAATAAGTCTTTATTAACAATAAGGTATATAAAAATAACAAGACATTGAGTTTATGTGTTAGGCCCAATGCTGTTGAGCATGTTAGTTGGAATCTTTTTATAGTATCCCTACGCCATGGTGTTACACTGGTTATGTGTAGGGAAATAGTTCTGTGATACGGCTACAGGTATACTTTGTATTTTCTGTCTTGTGCAAGTTTTTGCTTCCTCAAAGTTTTTCCTTTTTTTCTTTTTCCATTTTTAAAGGGTGTAATCTTTTTGTCATTGAATCCATGTCTTTTCCTAAAAACTGTAATACCTTTTTCCCTATAACTGATGGTAATCCCCTCTTATGTAACATCAGAAATTTGTTATCCTGCTGTATTAGGTGCACAAAAGGAAATTTTTGTGCAAATTTTGTATTGTATCTTTCTTTGCCTTTAATTGCATATTAAATGTTTTTCCTTTAAAATTTTATGCAGTGCTTGAGTTTTATTTTGTATTTGCACCTATTTTGACCTTAAGGATAAGAGACGCACATGTTCTCATTTCCTTTTCTTTTCCTACCAACTAGGTTTTGTGTTTAGCACAAGAATTTAGATTACATGAGGAATTAAAATTTTTTACATTTTACACAAAAGGACAAATGTACTCTTTGTGCAATTATTTTAAGATTTTTATACAAGTACCAGCAACACTAAAATTAAAACCCAAGATATCACTGGCATTTTTACACCTTAATATCACTGAGCTTTTTTATATGATTTTGGCAGATGTTAATAAGGATTATTGTTTATTTTTTTTAAATACTAATTTAAAATTATATTTTTTAATATAAGAATGATTTATAATATATACTGTAAAACATAAAAAATATTTAAAAGTACTTACTTGGCAAGATCAGCAGCATTGTCCTTCTGACAAGATTCAATGCCATAAAGTCCTGCAAATACCATGTCTGTCACAAATGATACTACCACAACCACCATATCTAATACATCAATACAGTTATAAAAAAAGCTCTTTCTGAAAGAAATAAAAACAACATTAATTCATTTATAACATAAAAATTACTTCACATTAACTTCTAAGTAGTTATGATAATCAATATTTTTTGTATGCCATATGATGGCACATAACCACTTTATACAGACTGTGATAATACAATTAACATTTATAATTTTTACTATATTTGTTGCTATAAAATCAATACGGAATCCTTTCCTAATAAAAGAGTAATAACTTGTATAACAATATAGCAGGAATAGACTCTGTACAGCACTAAATATTGTGTATTTTTCAGTGGTAATCCCATAGTCAAGAACTCTTGGTCATGGTACCAGATGTAACACTATATCTGAATGGGGATGTAGTTGCCTGATATGTGCATCTCTTTGCCATTTTCTTTGCCTTGCTTTCCATTTCTGGTGTAATTGTAGTACTATGGCTGGGGGGGGGGTCCCAGTCAGCTGTCCCAGTCACAAGTTCAGCAACATCACAGAGAGGAGTCTCCTCCAACCACGTGTTCAGAAGAACAGAAGTCCTAAACTCAAGCTTGAAATGTTGCAAACCTGAGCCAGCCACATGTCACACAAAATTAAATTGGAGAGATTCCATAGATTGATCAAAATCTTGGAATAATGAAGGAGACTAGAATACAGTAACAATATTTTAATGGAATAATTTATTTCAGTTGATGGTTATATAGCTGTTTCAAACTAGTGTCTTCCACATTTACATTATTTACATAAAGACTAATGTCCTCATCTTTGTTGCTATTATTACAATGTTTCAGATGTTGTGACCTCTGGCTTTTTTCACTTGTTCACAAATACAATAATAACAGAACAGCAGTTATAAGTGTGTCTGCTCATTCTTCCACTTTTCAAAAGTTGGGGCAATAATCTGGTGATCTATTCTTACAGCTGCTGCCTGTGTCTCTCACATTTCCCCTTTGACTGCCTTAGTAGACCTCTCTAAAGATTGCTCTACCCCCGTATATTAAATTCATCCCACCAGATTGTTACCAAAATTGTATTTTTTTTACTTGTACTTGTTGTAGCATTCATTTGTGTTATATTGGAACATACCTATTCTATTGTTAATAGACTCTCCCACATATAATAAGTAGTAGTAGTAGCAGTCACCAGGGTGCTCAGAGAGTTGGTGAGTCAGTCGATGTTGGACATTAAAGTATCAACCACCACAACTAGATTGCTGCGTCATTAACTATTATAACAAGTTCCTAACGTTTTGTACATCGAACCTTTTTAGGACCGACTTAGTGAAATACAAGCCTCCACTGTGAAACTACACTACAACACATTGGCGACGAGGGATTCATTCTCATACAGAGGAAGAAAAATTTTTTGTTCACTCTACAACAACTTTGGCGACCAGGATTCAAAATTCATACAGAGGAAACAAAAAAAAAAAAAAAATTTGTTTCGCCATATGCATCACTTGACGACATGGATTCGTAACACATCCAAAAAGAAAAATTCACCCGCCATAATAAACATGGCGTACGACTGATTCGGATTCATACAGTGAAAGAAAAAAAAAAAAAAAAAAAAAGTTCGCTCGCATTATTTGGTGACAAAATTTGTTCTCATATGGAGGAAAAAGAAAAAAAAAAAACTTGCGCGTCAAATTTTTGGCGACAACATCTCGGATTCACATTTAAAAAAAAAAAAACTTGGCAAAGTTTTTCAAAAGACAAGACATCAACTTAGTGACGAAAAAAATCAGTCGTATTCTCAACTGAGAAAAGAATTTTTTTTTCTCAAAAAGACAGTTTGCTCAAATAGGTCATGAATTGCAAATTTGTTTTGGACACCCCTCTACAATATTTAAGCATTGTGTAAACTTTTTGCGAAGATGGAGGAATGCAAAAATATATTCCAGGAATTTTTTAAGTTCCAGACGGAACAACAGATGACAATATTAGAGCAACAGAAAACATTCCAGATGCAACTACAGGAGGAAACTTTTAATAGGCAAATGCAGTTTCAACGAGAAATGGAACAAATGCATAAGGAGTTTCAAAAGAAAATTCTGGAAATAACTGAGAAGAGGAAAGAGAAAAATCTACAAAATGTTTCTTTCCCAGAGAATACAATATGGAATTCGCTTGAAATATCCACGTACAGTCCAGACGAAGAGATAACTTTTGAAGAGTATTATAAAAAATATACGGACGTGTATAATGAGGACTGCCACACGTGGTCTGAAGGAAAGAAGGTTAGACTTCTTTTAAGCAAGTTAGGAACTGCTGAGCATAACAAATTGGTAAACTACATTTTACCGAAAAAAAACTAGCGAGTTGACTTTTACCGAGGCGGTAAATATATTAAGTGAATTATTTAGTAAAAAGACATCTTTGTTTCACAAGAGGTGGTAATGTTTGAATCTGATGAAAGATGAAGAACAAGACTATATAACGTATGCAGCCAATGTGAACAAGCATTGTGAAGAATTCAAGCTAGCAGAGTTAAGCGCTGACAACTTTAAATGCTTAGTGTTTGTTCAAGGGCTAGTATCAGAAAGAGATGCAGAGTTGAGAAAATTGGTATTATCAAAATTGGAAAACCAACAAAGTCTTACAATACAGAATTTGGCAGAAGACTGCACAAGATATGTTAGCGTAAAGAAAGACTCGAAAAAGATAGAACAGTCTGGCGTTTCACATGTAAGGAAAATACACTACAAAAAAGAAAGTCAGTCTACCAAAAAGAATTCTAAAATTGCGGATTATCAAACAAAAAGTGAAATACCAGAAAAAATAAACAAAAACTCCCAAGCCATGTTTAAGCTTATGTGAACTTCACTGGTACAGATATTGCAATTTTAGGAATAAAAAAAGTTTCAACTCTAAAAGAGTGGGTCATGAAATCTCGCACTGCAGGTCAAAAAATAAAGACTTTAAAATAAGAAAATTAAAGTCCAATGAAGTGAATGATGGAATAACCAGAAAATTTGTTACCGTCGAAATAATAAAAAAATAAAAATGCAACTTGACACTGGTTCCGACCTATCTATCATAAATTTGCATCCGTGGAAGAAGTTGGGGAAACCAACTTTAATGAAAACAAATAAAATCGCAAGGTCAGTGACAGGAGAAGAAATACAATTTATTGGAGAATTTGTTACAAACGTCACATTAAATAAAAAAACGCGAAAAGCTAAACTATTTGTCATAGAAAATACCATGAACTTACTTGGTACGAATTGGATAACAGAATTTCAATTATGGGATCTACCAATAAATTCTTTCTGTTACAAGGTTGAAAATTTAAACTGCGAAGCCCAAAAATTAGTAAGGAAACTTAAGGAAACATTTCCTAGTGTTTTTTTTCTCCAGGTTTGGGAACATGTACCAAGATTGAGGCAAAATTACAACCAAAACAAAACAGGCGGTATTCAAAAAGAAAAGGAATGTGCTGTTTGCTTCAATTGAACAGATATATAAAGAATTGGACAGATTAGAGAAAACCGGTGTATTTAAAAAAGTTGAATGGATAACACCAACAATATATGTGAAAAACAAGCTCCACAAAGTAAAGATAAAATCGACACTGAAAAAAAAACAACTGGGGAACGAGTTAGCCAAGGACATGTAGTATTATTAAATGATTTAAGTCAACAAGAAGAAACTACAGAAACTGACTCCATCTTTAAGAAGCGCAAAGCAGATGGTTGTTTGTGGTAACGCTGTGGAGATATAATAAAAAAAAAAAAAAAAAAAAGGAAAAGCGGATTGGCTATATGATGTACTTGGTGAAAGGGGAAAAACTCACGTGCAGTAACAAGATCAGCAGTCCCGCGAAAAAAAAAAAAAAATGCTGATGGAGGTGATTTTCAATACGTTTGATCTCACAACGCCTGCAATAATTTTACCTGAGGTACACGATCCAGAAGAAAAAAGTAAGGCAACTGATCATTTAAAAGTGGATCAAAAAATGTAGGAAATATGCTACAATGTTGCTTAAAAAAAAAAAAAAAAAAAATTTTTTTGTTGTTTTTTTCTTCATATTTTCTGTAAAAAAATGAAAAATAAATAAAGAAAACTTTTTACTCCTACGGAGTAAAGTTTTAGGGGTGATGTTATATTGGAACATACCTATTCTATTGTTAATAGACTCTCCCACATATAATAAGTAGTAGTAGTAGCAGTCGCCAGGGGGCTCAGAGAGTTGGTGAGTCAGTCGATGTCGGACATTAAAGTATCAACCACCACAACTAGATTGCTGCGTCATTAACTATTATAACAAGTTCCTAACGTTTTGTACATCGAACCTTTTTAGGACCGACTTAGTGAAATACAAGCCTCCACTGTGAAACTACTCTATAACAATTTGCAATCAGTCAAGCCAGCTCTGGCAAATGAATCTGCTACATTCTGGAGGACAAGCAAATTCATAGTAGGCATATCAGTGGGAATTTGGATTCATAAGTGGTCCCCGCCACAAGTATATGCACTTTATGATAGTGCGACTATTGAAGATTGTATTGTTATGATCTGATCATTTTCATTTTCTAAAGGTTTCCTTTGTTCCAGACTGCACATGGCCAGCTAAACACTTGACCAAGTTCTGACAACCTGCTTCCCAAAAACTATTCTTCTTATGAGGCAGAATATGTTTTGGTTTAAACAAACCATACAGTGCATTGGTAAGCAATGGTGAATTTTTTTAGAAAACACTTTTTCCAAAATCTTTCTGAAACCACACCAATCTTATGGATAAATCTTTATGTAAACTACTTAATCTCAAGAGATTTTAGATAATCTTTTTCATTTTAGCCAAGGAAGTAATTTAAAACTTTTCATTTATGCCTGATGCTAAGAAACTATCTAAACCTATCTAATTTCTCAAAAGTAATCAACTTTCTTAATTAGTTCTTTTTCTACATTTAATGCAAATAGTCATTAAATGCAATCAAGCATTCTCTTAGACTTTTCTCTAGTTCTGTACCATAAAACTAGACCTTTCTACATTGAATTCAAGTCATCGATCCTTGTCAAGGCTCATTGGGGATCTAATCGCTCCCCAACTTCAATTAATCAACCAATATTTAAAATTGTTGGAAAAACTGGTTATTATGAGTGAAAAAGGCAAATAACAAAAACTATTTGAAACTAAAAAAAATCAGTGATGAAGAGAATCTGTGTATAATTAATCTTGCAAGAATTAATCATGCTTATTTAATCCGCAATATTAAAGATAACTAAATCATTAAAAAATAGCCTTTCCATAATTTATATATATATATATAAAAAACTCACCTATGAACATTAAAGCATTATATGTCATGAAGATATTTCTAAGATCAAAAACAACACTTAAAAATCTTGATAATGTTTAATCAATAATAAAATATGGTTGATTTTCATAATATTTCAATTTTTTTTTTCAAATCATTAAAATTTTACACTCCTATAAGAATTACCCTCATTACTAGCCATGAACCAGAGTATTAAAAAAAAAAAAAAGGGACCATTTTCCATTTTAAATTTAATTAAAGACTGAAGGTTATTTGTATTAATACATGGAGATGTACTATATAAAAATCATACCTATAGGTAATCATTAGTTGAATAACAAAGAAGAAATTGTGATCGAAGTTATTAATATTTTCAAGTTTATTCTTATAATGTGAGTAAATATAATATAAACAAAATATTAAAAATTATCAAAATATTAACACAACGTTAAGATAATATTAACTGAAGTATTTATAGCTTCATTATATTTTATAAAATGTATCAAATATTATTAAATTATATTTAAATATTAATTTAATAAAATATTCAAAAAAGTAACATTTATATTTGAATATCGATTACCTACAAATATATGCAACATAATTTGTTTTTCTTTTATCCTTTCCAGATTAAAAAGGTCCCTCTTGAAAATTGTCAAATCAAAAAGCCTTGGCGCAAATACAAACCCTCTGTAAAATATCCTGAGAGCAACCTCCAGCATAAAATATGAGATGATGACGTGAGATGTGATTTCCAGGCCACTGTCTGCATCACAATCAAAGATAGCCAAATCAACTACAACAAGGATGAAGTCTGTTAAGATGAGAAGCACGGTCATAATACGAAAAATTAGATGCTCTACAATGCGCTTCACCATCAACTGGACGGCTCTGGAAAATAAGAATTGAGTAGAGGGAAAAAATAAACAAAATAAAATACTGACTAAAAGGAAAAAATTTTATTGGAATTTACAGTTTATAAAAATAAGAATATAAAACAATGAAAAAGACTTTTGGTACATTAACATCTATATGGGTATTGCATTCCCAACTATTACCATTTATCAACAATTTTCACTTATACATTTATGAATAAATGACTTGAAATTATTAGTAAATACAATCATTAAGATGAAATCTTTCTGTCTAGATGCATTAAGCTTAAATGTAGTCATATCTAATCCTCAGATGAAACACTAACTTTTTTGACATCAAAACAGAGGTCCTTCAGGGTGACGTACTTTTTCTCTTTGTTATCACCCTTGACTACAGGGTTGCCGTGAATAAAATGAATGTAATCTAAAAATTTGATCTACCAGACAACCTCAAGCTGAGATTCTTTCAACCCAGTGTAGAGACAGTGTTAATGCATGGTGCCACTGCCTGGACATTTACTAAAACCCTACAGTTTAAGGTTGATGGAACCTACATTTGGATGTTGGGAACTATACTTAACATCTTCTGGAGACAACATCCAACTAAATTACAGCTCTATGGACCCATTCCTAACATTTCTACAATCTTACATGAATGCAGAATGTGCTTTGCTGGACACTGATGGCCAGCAAAACAAGAAGTCATGAGTGATATACTGTTCTGGATATGGAGCAAGATGAGTTGGTCACCCAGCAACCACCTACACTGACCAGTTATGTTATGACACAAAACGGCCTTCCTAATAACCTTCCAACTTTGATGCAGGCCTGTGATAGGCTCATGAATTTCCGAACTAACACAACTGATAAAAACAATCATTAAGCATTCAGTCTGAGAAATTATATTCCTGCCACCTTTTGTGGTAAAAAGATCAGAGAAAAGTGAAAACTTACTGGCACCGGAAGCAAAAAGCTAGAAGAGTGGAAGTAACACTTATATAGGGAAGTGGCAATGCATTATGGGTGAGTGGTGGTTGCATAAAAGCTGGAAAGAATGATGGGCGACAAGCTTTTTTCTTTACAAACGTGTGTCGGCAAGTGAACGGACAGGAAAGGAAAGGAAGAAGAGGAAAGAAAGATAAAGAGTTTTTTTTAATTGTCTCTGTATATCAGCTCACCACAGCCATCATCTATGACTTTCCATGGCATTAATTCTTGTTCCAGCTATTTTGTGAACCAAGAAAGCTATCTGAATACTGTCAATTTTTTATTGAGTATTACTATAATTCCCCATGTATAATAATCATTTTTTTCTAAATCTGGGGTTTGTATTATGCACAGCTACAAAAAAAAAAAAAAAAAAATATCTTTAAAAAATTGCCATAAAATAAAATAAGAATTATCATAAAACTAAATTACAATAATATTATTCAATGTTTAAAACCATTTTTTTAAATAAAAATAGGAAACACTGGTCGTAATGAAATTGGAGAGGTATAATTTATAGGGTTTGATTACCAAACAAGGAGTGTGTATTATGCATGAGTAAAAGCATTTTCCCACACTTTCAGCACAATTTTAGGTGTGTGTATTATGGACGAAGGCATATTATACATGGGGAATTACAGTACTTCTGTGAATGTTTAATTTTTCTCTTTATTTTATTACCTTTTAAAAAAACGTCAGTTAACAAGTTAGATAATTCCATTAAGAAGGTACAGAAAGGCATTTACAAATGACCAGAAGAGAAAAGAAAATCAGATGGGCTTGGAAGATAAATTCATTAAATATTTGCTGATATTTGTACCCTGAATCACTTATTAGGTACAACAGGTTAATTAAAAAAAAAAAAAAAAAAAAAAAAAAAAGAATGATAGTAAATAAAAACATCATCATTTACAAGATTGTCATTTTATCAATATTTGCAGGTTATAAGATGAAACAGATATTCACAACCAATAAACTATTGAAAACCCAAGTAAAAGTAAAGTTTCTCATAAAAATTAAAACTTATACTTTGAAATGAAGCTTAGATGCTCATTACTTGAATTTTTAACAAGAAATCTGTATCAAGAATGATGAATTAATTTAATTTCACCATTCTTGATACAGATTGCTTTATAAAGATTTTTAAAAAATATAGATTGATACAGATTGTGTTATAAAGATTTTTAAAAAGTCAGGATTGGAAATTAATTTGAAATTTCTATTCTTCTTGTTTGGAATTCATTAGCACACATTTATTTCACAGAGAGAAAAGGAGATTTTTTAAAGTGAAAGACAAAAGCATCAGTTGTACATCATAGAATTTATTAACTTATAATTTGGTCTCTAGGTTAAGCACACATGGGCTGAGGAATTGTCCCTCTGTCAAACTATTTTTAGGATCTGATGATTGCAAAGCTTCCCATTAATTCCTTTCCATTTTTCAGCCATTAAGATTTGATTCTAAACTCCAGGTTGGGGAGTTGTGATCAAAAATTCACTAAAATAACAAGTGTGCTTAAGTGAAAAGTACAGTTCTTATAAAATTCATAAGGTCCAAGTGGAGAACCTTGGTATGGTGTAATGGTCAGCAATCTTGTCTCACTAGATCAATTCCAACTGAGAAGTGAATCCGATCCTCACTGGGTGCCCCATACTTTTGGACTTGTGCCACAACTAAGTTACGTTTAGTAAATCAGCATAAAGGTCCACGTGTTATAAATACAACAATATGGTAATTGGAATTTGAGTAAAGGAAAAAAACTTATGTTTAAACTGATGTGAGAAGGATACTGATATTTACATTAGACACAAAGATTAAAATTGAAAGAAGATTTGGTACTACTTAGACTTGTCCACCCATCAAAAAAAAAAAAAAAAAAAAAAAAAAAAAATAGCAAAATAATTTTTGTAGCATTCTTTAGAACTTCCTTAGGTGAGAAATATTGATTTGTTACCAATTCAGAATGGATCCTGCTTATATCGTTAAAGTGTCAAATTAATTCTTGACTTTTACATATTTATTCACCTTAGCTGTTTTGCATATGAAAACAGATTTTTTTTTTTGAGGTGAGGTTACAAAAAGACTTCTTTTAAATAAGGAACATGCAGATAAGTAAAAAAAAAAAAAAAAAAAAAAAATTTACATAAATTAATAAAATTAAACATCAGTTTATTCTTAAGATAAATAACATCAAATATTTATGTATATACTTCCCCAACAAAATTCCATACAAAAAAATTTTGAAAAAAAAAATGTTAAAAAATATTAAAAATATGCAGATATAGGGTGTTATATGTTAGTACATTTTCAAACTTGACATTTGTAAATAATAGTTAATAAATAAATAACTTAAGCATAAAGCCAATAAGTCTACAGAAGTCAGTGATTGGTTTGACACTGTATTGATATTATAGACAAGAATCCCTTTTAAAAATTCTGACAAGTCTAAAGAAAAAAATTATTTCCCCCCAAATTTTCCTTATCTGTTTAAGCAGTCTCAAAGCTTCTCTGCTGATCATCAAGAATATTAACTTTTCTGTAACAGGTGTTTATTTATTTTTTTTTAATCCATTGTTCCAGTAGAATGCTTTAAACCAACTGTTATTTTTAAATCTGCAGGTACACACTTCCAAAATAAGGTATGGAAATAACTTTATTTTTTCCACTGAAAAATTTCTATAAATACCAAACAGGAGTTATTTCTTTCATTTTTCCAAATTGTATCAGAGAGGATTTTTTTATGATTCATAATTTTTTCAATATATGCTTTAATTTAGACAGGATCATGTTTTAATTCATATGAAAAAATATCTACAGTACAACAAATGATAATTTAGTATCAACTGAAATTAATATTTATTTTACTGTACAATAAAACAAATTGAAGGGTTTTAGAGTACTTAGAAATTAACCAATTTTATCTGAAAAATACACATCTATTAATTTTAAAAAAAAAATGTTTCAAGGGAGATTACTCTAGATACATTTTTTTTTTTTTTTAACTTCACTTATTAGCATTAAAGATTTGCCACGTTTATTAAGAGTCTTCCAATGGTCAGATAAAGATAAAGATCACACAAACCAAGCGGTAGCTGCTAGTACAGATGAATCTTTTATGACATAACTTCAATACTTGTGGTATAGGTTGATTTGAGGACCATTATTTGTGAGTGAAAATGATGCAAAGCAGAAGATAGCATTGTGGTACATAACATTGGTTCCAGCAAAAAGGTTAAGTAGCACAATGGCTTTGTTAACTTTTGTGCTCGTCTTTCATGAGGTCCTTGCCTCTCAAAATATATTTGTACATAGTACTAAATATTTACACTAGTTACATTGTTCAGACTATTGTCCTCATTTTTACTAGCACCTTCACAACATTTCGGCCTTCATCAGGTGATAATTGTTGAAATTTTGAATGGAACACTTTATTTAGTCCATGGGAGTAGATTGTTCTAATTCCACATACCATGCCTTTGGATATCTCAGTTTTAGTTAATTCACCTTGATAACTCTCAAAGTTTTTCTCTTCTTCGTTGAGGCCAAGGATTGAACTCACAACTCTTTAGGTTAAGTCAATTTTTGGGTCAATTAACCAATGCTTTTATCCCCTGTGTACTAAATAAAGGGTTCAGTTCAAAATTCTAACAAATATTGCCTGAAGAAGGCTGGAGAATACAATGGCCAAAACATTGTGAATGTAATAGTAAAGATGATGACAACTGTCTGAACAATGAAAATAGTGTAAATAGTGACAACACCTCATCTCGGAAATATAAACAGATATAGTACTAAATATTTGCACAGTTGACTAAAAGTAACTTGGTTAGCCTTTAATGATTATTATTTACTAAGTGTAGCTTAATTTTGGCATAAGCCCACAAGTATAGAGCACCTAGTGAGGATCAAACTCTCTAGTAATGATCTACATGTCCAACTTGTTAACTATTACATCACAATGAGGTGTTTTATCTTTGATAGTTTATCTTTGTTGGTTAGTTGATTTTGTTTAGCGGCATATCAACCTCTATGGGTTATTTAATGCCAAAATATAAATATCTTGAACACATATTTTATGGCTTCAACTAAATATATACTATAAATATATATTGTTAGAAATTTTACTATAAATATTTAGTGTTGATATTTTTTATATAAAAGTGTATTTTTATATTTTCAGGTGCTAAATTTTTAGAGGTGCAAAAAAATTCTTGGATAAAAAAAATTATGTACAAAACTAGAATTTATAACAACTCATGGCTAAGGAGGAGGTGCAATATTTTAAATTACCCTGGGCACTTAAATCCCACCCTATACCATTGTTAAAAGCTAATATCAAGAAGCAATTAAATAGGAGTTAGCACTGGCTGATTCGATAAATAGTTTCATTTTTAATGATTCAAAAATGTAGAGTTGTTTAAGTCTTGAATTAAATTATTAAATTTATTTAAACTAGTCTTTCACATCCTCTCTTAGCTGTGAACAGTCTATTTTTGTACTTATAAAATTCTCAATTATAAACTGCAAACCTCTTTGTTTAATTTATTATTTTATAGAAATTATAAATAGGCTGACAAAGAAAAATAGAATTTGAGTTGAAAATCTATTAACTATTCAGGTATTGAATTCACGGATTTAACCACTAGCCAAATTAAAAACACTCGGCCTCTTATAATTTCTATAAACTGAGCACTCATCGTCATAACATTTAAGATGTATGCAGACCTCAAACTTCATTGATTGTATAAAGTTCAAAAGGTTCGAGATTACATATTCAAGGTCCTACAGAGACATTGTGTCTGTTCATGAATCCATAAAAGTCAGATAATTTTCTTATGTGATAAATACTCACTCAAGTTTATTTTTTGGACAGTATCGGTCCCCAGCTGGATCATTAATAAATGCCCGTGGGGTTCCTTCAATATTGGTTTGAACGGACTGATGGTCAGCTCCATTCCCATTGTTGAAATTGACTTGGAGTGAAGGATTCACACTGATTTGGGTGTCTTCAATTTGGACAGCTGCACTCGGCTTTGTGCCATTCTCACTTTTGCATTCTGAGAAATCTTCATCTTCAAACTGTTTATACTTTGACATAATACTGCTCTCTATACAGGAATCAGTCAGCCTGCAGGAATAAAAAGAGAATTAGAAAAGCAAAAGGCAAATAAGAATCAAGTGTTGTAAAAAAAAAAAAAAAAAAAAAGAAAATTTTATTTGAACCAGAAGTTAAACTTAAGCTAGGAACAATAAAAGAAGTATCAAGCAATTTCATAAGGAGAAAAATTAAGCCATCTTCTTTATATGAAACTAACCATAATCATTTCAAAAACAGTGTCTTTTGCAGTTGATCCATCATGATGAAATAAAGCCTTTATACCGATTTATTTAATGTCCTCATATCAATTGTTATAGTCTTCTTCAGTTGCCTATTATATTTGATAAACTTTTGAGAATTTTGAACCAAACCCTTCATGCAAGATTCTTCTCATTCCACTATTCATACTAAAGGGTATATTGTTGGTTGATTTTATTTAGCTGCATATCAGTCTCTATGGGTTAGTTAATGCCATAATCTAAATATTTTTTTGAGATAATAGTTTTAATGATACAAGTCTTACTAATTAACCCATAGCTGGGGTGGGAAAAGGGGTGGATTCATACCTTTCTTAATGGTATTTGCATGTAACTGAATATAAAGAACCCAACTGGAATTGAAACTGCTCTCCAATTAACAATTCTGAACCATTATTCATTACACCACCTGCACATCCAAAATTACAACACCTGGTATTCGCAAACAGTCACCCATCTAGGTACTGACAAGACTTGATGTTGCTTAACTTAGGTGATCATACAGGAACCGATGTTTCAATGTGATGTGGCTATAAGCCAACATAGAACTAGAACTGCATTACATTAACATAATTGTTTCAGTGTATATATAGATGTATGAAATAAAGCATAAAAGAATTGTCCACTACATAAACCAGAACTCAATTTTGTGGCTTCAACTAAATATATTTTGAATGCAATTGTATGTCTTCAACTATATATAAAATGTATTGCTGGTCATTTTGCTATAAAATATATTTTTGAGAATTCTACAATAAAATGTGTGGTTGGTATATCTTAATATAAAATATAATGCTAGTCATTTTGCTTTAAAATTGTATTGTTGGTAATTTTACTATAAATATGAATTGATGCTAATTTTTTTTATATAAAAATGTATTGCTGGTATTTTTACTATAAGAATTTATTTTTGTACTTTCATAGTGTTTTCATTTTGTTTGGGAGTTCACTATTTGCCCATATCTGGGATCCTAACAGATGCTACCACTCCAGGTCAGGGTGGATCTGGGAACTGCAGCAATTAAGAAGTGGTTCCACGCTCCTCAAACTCTCCAATCTCTCAATCAGGGGTCTTGCTGCTGGATGTAGTTTATCGTAATACCAAAAACTACTTGTATTAGTTAATTCTTTTTTGTTAACTGGTTCTGAACCAGACTAAATGAAAGTCACTGCCTGATTTAGGATGAAATTCAAAACCACCAGGTAACTGCATACATTTAACCAATGTTTATAAACCTATTGTTCTGTAGTGAAAGTTTTAAGCCTCAAACCTAATACCTGTTCTTTTATAATCATATTTTCATATACAGTAGTTACTTCTTCATTTAAAAAAAAAAAAAAAAAAAAAAGAAGAAAATTCACAGAGTAAAGTCTTTTATATTTAATATCTTGAAATGTTATGTTTTAACCTAACAATGTTGTAGTGATATGTTTGCATGTGAGAAATCACCTGATTTATATATCCAAAGGAGGAGAATATAAAAAGGATAATACAGCTTAGAGAAGAGAGTTAAATAAGGAACACTGCAGCAGGGAGAGAAAAAAAAAAGAATTCTTAACTGCAAGTCTATGCTTAGTTAAATAAACCTGCAATCGTGCATAGGTAGACTTAATATGGTCTCAAAATTGTTTCTGCCACTCATTCATCTGGGATATTTGTACAGAGAGAGATTTTTATTTTTCAAGAAAAATTCCTCCAAGAAATTTGAGCAATAAAGATTTTCCTTCCGTTATGTGCTGGTATTCTCAAATTTGAACCTACGTATAACTAATTTCACATTGAGATTAATACATCTCATCAATAACAGAAGAGAAACAGATACAGTGGAGAAGAGAGAATGTCGAGCATAAAATAAAACCTCATTAAATTATTCTCATTAGATCATTCACAAATGTAGTTTGATCCTTATGCCTTGTGCCAGAGACAATATTTCTAAAGAGATAGTAAAGTAGTTAAAGAGTGAAATATAAAAAGATAGACACTAATATATGAGAAGAACTGAAATGTTCTTGGTCCAACAAAGATTGGTTATATTTTATGATTTATGTCCTAATAGTTGCTTATTTGTCATTATTATGCTAACAGGTTAAGATTTAAAGCAAAACACTATTATATACATTAGTTGATAGTATATTAATAGCAGGATTAGTTTAACCTATGAGGTATTCAATAAATTAAATATAAGTTCAATCAAAATTTCAATCCATTTCAAAGTTTTGTGGAACACCACTCACCAGTTTTGTGTTTGTCAAAAGATAAGTTGATTGGAGTTTTATTAATTTATTGACTATTGATTCTCTAGTTCTTTAACGAGCCCATTCTTGACAAATATTTAGATCACCTTGAAATATGTTTTTACATAAGTGTTATTGCTTTCTATCATTATTACAATGGAGATATTTTCAGAAAATAATTTTGTGCTATATAATTTTAAAGGATAACATGCTTAAGAGTTTTGTTTTTTGTAAATTAGATTTTGAATCAAGCTTTTGTGTAAAAGATTCAAGCTTTTGGCAGTTATCAGTACTTGAGCCTTTTGTAAGGCATTATGCAGTTTATTACCTTAAAAAAAAAAAAAAAAAAAAAAAACTCAAATTTTTCTGATTCTAAAGTCAAAGATTCTCAATAAATAACAATAATCAATCTGCTCTTAAGAAGTGAACTCAATTACAACACATCATTAATCTTGGAAATATCCAAAGACCACAAACTGGACTTGTGTTCATTTTCTGTAGCTAACAAATAATAAAATGATAAAAATTTGAAACTGGTTTAATTCTCATAGAATTTACAAACATGCTCTGCTAGTAACACTTTAATTTTCCATTCACCAAATATGTTTATTAAATGATTTTCTTTTAGGTGCCATGTCCCTTCATAATGTGGGTGATCATGGCTCTTTCCAACTTCCTATCCTTTATAGCTCTTAGTAAGGTCTGTCTTTTTGCTATTGCTCCTAATCCTGGGTTTACCAACCATTTACACAAGTTCATTTGATAGGTTATGCACTGTTTTCCTCTATATTCTTATACATGTTCTGTGAGTGTAAAATTCTCCAAGCACTTTTTCCTTATGATGTACCCTAGAAATTTCAACTGTCTCTTTCTGATTCTAAATAAAACTATCCTTTTTGTTTCAATTTTCCTTAAAACTTCCTTGTTACTCACATATTCAGTCCATGATATTCTCCACATCTTTCTGTAGAACAACATTTCTGCCACTTCAAGTTTCTTCATCTGTGCAGGGCTTGTCTATCATTGTCAAATAAGAAAACCAATATTATACAATACTTCATTTTTTTGTTTTTAATGAAATTTTCCTGTTTCTTAATATTTTGCTTAACTTTTGGAAGGCATCTTTTGCTATTTCAATGTGCCTTCAGATTTCAGTGTCACATTTTCTATCCTTTGTTAAAACACTTCAATTATTTAAATTTTGTACTTGCTCGATTCTGACCTCTCCAATTTATAGTTGGTATCATGGGTTGATCGTTTTTTCTTACAACTATACATTCTCTCTTGTTAGAGTTGAGATTTAGTTCTTTCTTCTCTACTTTTCTTTACTACTTTCTGTAAGAGTTCCTGTAATTTCTTTCCTGTCTGCTATCAACATTGTGTTATCTGTATATCAGATGTTGTTAAGACTGACTCCTGATAGGACCTCTAATTCTCTCAGGATTGGTTTGCTGTAAAGGTTGAACAAGTCCAGTGAGAAAACATATCCTTATACTCCTCTTTTTTGTGTACTTACTGAATTCATTTTTTATCCATATTCAGGCAGTTTGCTCCCAGTATAAGTTCGGGAATATTCAACGAGAGTGGGCTGAAAAGTTCATAGGCTGACTATAAAGGAGGAGTAATACTCGAGCTGTGAAATCCTACATATGTTAATTTAATCTCTTATTAATAACTACATTGTTTCTTTCCAGGTAAACTGACATTTGACTGTTCAAAGAAGACTTCAAAAGTAACTGGTAGTGACTTCTCTTGAAAATGGACAAAATTTGGCATTGTGACATTATCAAGTTCTCACAAAAAGAAAAAAAAAGTGTGTGTGTGTGTGTGTGTGGGGGGGGTTAGCCCACAAAGACATTTATGCTGACATGGTTGCTACATAAGAGGATGATGATCCAGCTTTATTAACAGTGCAAAAGTGGGCAACTGAATTTAGGGAGGGGAAGGGAGAATCTTAAAAATAACCCAAGATCTAGACATCCTGCAACTGTCACCACCGACGTAAACATTGATAGTCTTCACCACATGGTGATGGATAACAGGCAATTAAATATAAATCAATACTATTAGCATATCTCATGAGAGAGTGGAGAATATTCTGCACAGTGAACTTGGCATGACAAAGGTTTCTACTCGATGGGTGCCACATATTCTGACACACAATTAAAAGCACACAGGCTGATCACATCATAGGAAAAACTAACATTGTTTGAGGCAGATCCAGCTGGTTTCCTTGAATTTTTCCAAATCCAAGATGAGTGTTGGATTCATCACTTTGAGCCAGACAAAGAGATGATCCATGCATTGGAAACATCCCTTCTTACCTGATCCAAAGAAGACCAAGGTTTTCCATCTGCTGGGAAGGTGATGGCTTCAGATTGTTGGGATGTAAAAGGTATTGTGTTTATTGATTATCTTCAAATGGGCCATGCCATCAATGGGGAGTACTATGCTCAGTACTGCTGAGGCAGTTATGAAAGGCTATCAAAACCAAATGCCCAGGGAAAGTGACGAAAGAGGTCATGTTTCATCAGGACAATGCTCCAGTACACAAGTCCTCAGTTTCAATGGTTGCTGTGCATGACAGTGGCCTTGAACTTGTTGATCACATTCCCTATTCTCCTGATTTGGACCCATCTGACTTATCTGGTTCCCAACATGAAAAAAAAAAAAACACTTGGCTGGGAACCAGTATTGCAGTGTGTGATGACATCATATCTATTGTTGATAACTTTTTTGACCAACAGGATAAAAGCTTCTTCACCAGTGAGATCCAATCACTGCATCATTGATGGAAGAAGTGTGTGGACTGTAAGGGCAACTATGTTGAAAAATAAACCTCATTTGGTCACATTCCATGAGAATATCTTGGTCAGCCTATGAACTTTTTGGCCAACCCTCATGATATCTTTCCCAAATAAATTGAGTTTACCTAGCTGTTCAAACTGTTCTTTGTATCATACCTTATCAAACACTATAAGTATAATTTTCTGGCATGAACCATTCAATACCAAGTATTAATAATTTTTAACCTGAAAAATATTGATAGTTTAGCATCTGACAAAATAAGATAAATTCAGAGGGATATGTTCTTACTATTTATTCTATAAACTTAAAGAGCAAGAGTCTACTATTACTAGACTATTAAGAATTGTCTCAGCATTGAATACCTGTCATTCTCCCTAAAAGAAGAGTATTAGTGTACTCTATGATATTTACACTCACTATGAGTGTGTAATAAAGAGTTGTTTGGAGATCTTGTAAATATATTGTGGGTACTATGACAGATGGACTAAGAAAATATTTAACCAAAAATAGAAAGGGAAATTATTTGACAACATCAGCTTTCCACACTTGTAAACTCTCACCCAGTTTTTGAACAGGAGTAGTGGTTTATCCCTTATTGGATTCCAGTTCCTTCTAAAGTCTAATTCAACTCTATACTTTTAATGTCTCCACCTAAAAATCTGAACTTTTATCTACTATTTACTTCTTTTTTTTTTTTTCTTTCTTTCCTTAATAGTAGATAAGCTATCACTCAGTTCATACTCCTCCCCAGTCTTTTGAACAGGAGTAGAGATTTATCCTTTGTTTCCTGTTTAGGGTTGAGTTTCCAGTTCCTTCTAAAACCTTTTCCTCTTCTTTCACTTTCAGTGCCATGCATCTTGATGGCATTATCTCTTTGCTTTGATGATGTCTTTTACTCTGTTACCCTCTACCTTGAGTGGCTTTTGAGCTTTGAGTAGTGTGAACATTATTGTGTATATTGTAAAACACCTAAACCTTGAATATTTTCAATGAAAGAAAACAACTACGTTATGGTGTCAAAGATGTATCAAAGTGAACAAGATTATCCTTTTGTCGTCTTAAAACTTTTTTTTTTTTTTTTTTTTATTTGCAGCAACTCAACACGAGACTTTTTACAAATGACTATATCAAATGCATGTAGAATATTTCACATGGATGCCTTTAATTCTATTGCTAGCAATGGCATGACATTTGTTTGCTAAATGAAAGCAACATTTTTTTTTTAATTGTTTATCTGAATAATTGAAAAAGTAAATTCCAAATATTTAGATTCCCTACTACAACAAACTTCAAGGGATTCTTTTTTCATACATCCTTGTTTCTAGTCTATGGTCCAAATTTAAATCTATCTCTAGTGGTCAATTTGAACTCCGGTTTTCTCAATAAAACATTAACCTATCTGTATGCTTTTTTTATTTGCTATTTTAAACAATTTGAAAAGAAATGATACTTGAATAAGAAAACCATAAAGGATAGAAAAAAAAATGAGGTTTGATCAAAACCAAAATTTTTCATGGAGTAAATAGAATATAAACGGAAAAGAAAGACAGACATGAGTACTGAGGGAGGGGGAGACACTGAGATAAAGGAAGAGAAAGAAAGATACTGAAATTTGAACAGAGCAAAGAGATTTAAATATGGAGTCAGAAAAAGATAAAAATATACATGACAAGGAAGATAAATAGAAAAAAGCAGTCACATGCTCATAAGGAGAGATGATATAACACCATAACTATGTATAAAAATCAACCAATCTTTTTTTTTGGTTTGCTTTTAGACTAGGAATTTTATGAACAGGAGATAAAGGAACGTTTGTGCCTACAGGACAAATGAAAATATCAATTTCTTGATTATGATGATTAGTGTAATAGAGGTGAGGGACATCCCCCCCCCCTCAACCTATAATATGGTCTTTACTTGCAGTAACAGGTTCAAAGTATTTTTAACAAGAGCAAACGAGAAGGTGGATAATAAAGTTTCATGTTGTAGAGAGACCAGTTTTGTAATAATGACTAAATTAAATAGTCATAACAAGAGCCTCTTCTGTGTCATTGTAAGATAATAAAACTGATGACGGAAATAAATAAAAAGATAAAATATTCTCTAAACAAGATAATTTGTTCCCATTGGTGCCAGTGGTTTGGACTCATCAGGAATTTTAAATACTGATTTTTCAAAGCAGTTGAATGATTATCACAATACAATTTTCTTAACCCTCATATCCTGTATGTTAGCTTGTACTAGATTAAGTTAAGCTCAACAAATCTACCAACACATGTTTATGTTAGTTCATACTGGTAGAGATAACCATATTGATTGGGGAAAAATAACTTCAAATATAACAACACAAGAAAAAGTATGTTCCTTAATATATTCCTTACATGATACAACAAAGAGAAAAAAAAAATTCATTTACCCATAAAAAAAAGTAGTTGTTACTGAAATATATTCTAATTTAATAAACAAATTATACTATTCTGCAGTTTGACAGGGTTCTAATATAGTGTGTGTGTCTGTGTTTGGTTAATGAATGTTGTATGTTTCTTTATATGGAAATGGCTAATATTACTATTGCTATGATATTAGTGGCTTCTATGTTTGTCTTAATGCTTCTCCCATGCAATGCCAGTAAGAAAATATTATTTGTAGACCCAACACTAAAACAATCTACATAAATCCAACTACAAGAAAATTATGGTAGTCATTTTGAAGCCAGCCATCTTGAGAGGTTGTTTTTTAGTGCCTTGTTGAAGCAAATTAGCAAAATGGAGTATCACAGGAAATTGAAGTCACTCACTTTCAAAGTATAAGTTTGTTAGCATCATGGTAATTCTGGAAATAAAAACATCATCCTTTCTGCCAAACCCAGTTAAGATAGTTACTGCAATGACATGTAAGAGAAACTGCTTGACAACAGGACAAGTTCCATTGTACAATTTTAGAAAGTCAAAATGTCCGAGAAGCATAATGAGCATACAAACTTTTAGTTGAAGCTTGTTAAGAGGGACATCAGACAATTCCAGAGAGCTTAGCAACTCAATTGGATTCTAAAAAAAAATATTTCAATATGCAAATCAATATTTTCACAATAAAACTGGTACTAATCTACTGAAGTTGGTAAAATCTTCATATTTATATAAGCAATATATTAGGTAAATTTCAGCTTATATCTAATATTACCTGCAACAATGTTTATATTTTCCTAGATATCTTCTTTGCTTGGATATTGTTTTCCATATACATCTTTTTTTTTAATGATGAACCACAATTTTTCTATTGGATTAATATCTGGGGAGACCAAGTGTCATGCCATTAATCTGGTATCTGATTTTTAGTATGGTTAGCTTTGCAGAATGTGTAAGAGCAATGTGAAGAGTTTAAAACTTTTTGTTCAATATATCATTCAAAAAACCTCCTGCCCAAGAATTTACAATTCAGATTATTCAATTTGAATCATCATTAACTTTGAAAGGACCTATAGTTTTATTGCATATAATACTTGTCCTAAGCATTATTCTACTCCCCATTATTGTCATCCATGTCATATTTGTTGTTTCCATGGAGGATACAATTTGTGTCTCTCACTATCATGTCCATCCAATATAGCTCTACATTCATCACTAAAAATTACTGTTGAATAAGTTTTTATGTACTTCTTTGCCAAACTTACATATTTCTCTATGTGATGTTTACTTAAATGATTGTTTGGCTGCTTTCATGACTTTTGGCAATGTACTTAATATTTTGCATCTTTTCTCTCTGTATCTGCAACACGAGATTTTTTTTAGTTTTTTTTTGCTTATATTTTCTTGCTAGTCAATCAATTTTTATTGCTTATTACACTTTTAAATATTCCCAAATCTCTTTTTGTGACATTTTTTTCTTGTTCTTATCTTTCAAGGTTTCCAATTTTATTCTTTGTTTAACATTTTTGCAATTTCAAACATTGTGTTCCATCACTTTCTTGTTTCACTTTTGACGTTTTATCTTCATTGCAAACCATAGTAATCATTAATTGAAATTCTAAAATAAATGTTAACTCCTTCCCTGATGTAGATGTGTATATGTTTTTACCAAAAGTGTTTTTTTCAGACACAGACAAATAAACGTGTTGAAAACAATGTTCAGAAACCAGCTAGATGTGAACTATAATGAATATCCCGTGAGTTTCCATATTGTGTTGTCTTTGATGAAGCCCTTACTTGGGAAAGGTTATTGTTCTACTGTGGATAACTATTATACTAGTCAAAAATTAACTAATGCCAGACTGATATTTATGGGACATTCAATTTGAATCAAAAAGTAGTGTCAGAACAGCTAAAAAGGGAAAAAATTTAAAAAAAAAGGGGATGTTGCAGTATTTCAAAGAGGTAAGGTAATGACTCTTTGTTGGAAGGATAAAAAAGACATTGCAATACTTTCAACTATTCACAACCCAGCTATGCAGAACATTGAGACAAGACAGGCACCTGTGAAGAAACCCAAAGTTGTATATGATTACAATTATACAATGGGTGGAGTTGACAAAGTGGACCAACAACTTGTAGATTATCTAATTTCAAAGAAACTGAGTAAGAAATATTATGAAAAAGTTTTCTTTCATCTGTTGGATAATATGGTATGGAATGCTAACATCCTGTATAATGAAGCAGTCAATCATTCAGGACAAAAATATATCTCACACCTGAAACTCCATATGGAAATTACAAAAGATATAATTGCAAATTATGGATCCGATTTACCACCAAAAAGATTAACAGGTAGACCCTTGTAATAACCAGGAAGACATTTTCCGATGGAAGTCCCAGCAACAGAAAAAAGGTCAAATCCATTAAGAAAATGTTTTGGGAAGTCAGAAAAGAGATCATAGAGGGATATCAGTCAGGAAAGTTATGACATATGTGTAAACTGTGTTAAGTAACTTTATGTGTAGTACCATGCTTTGAAATGTACCATATAAAATAATTTCATTCATAAAATGGCAGAATAATTCTATTCATTTATATTTATGAATAAAGATAATTTGTGCTATATTTTTATAAAAAAATAATTTAAAATAATTTTATTCATAAAATGCCAGAAAAAGTATTTTCATTCATTTATATTTGCAAATTATTTTAATTTCTGTTATATTTTTGCTAGTAAATTTAATAAAAAATATAAAACAAAATTGTTTTTCTATTTCCCTTTACTTTTGGTAATAAAATTATGTAAAAAAAATTTTTTCAAAATTGGATAAAGAATATGCTTTATGGGGAGATGTGTTTACACATCTTTGCTGAAAATGGTATTTTCAAAATATAATTTCAACCATAAAAATGGAAAAAATTGAAATGCAAGTTATTATTTATAATCAGTATAAAAATACTATATTAAAAACAAATAAAAAAAATTGTCTGAAAATGAAACCTTTTCCCCCCCACAAAAGAAATAATCGACAGGGAAGGGGTTAATAACTATACTATTATATATACTTATTTTCAGTTTAATGAATCCTTGAGTTACATAATAATCTAATGCCACCAAATAAGTTAAATATTCCTAAGAAACAATTTTTGTTCAGTACACTTCTCTCCCTTATTTACTTTATAATTTTTCTCAAATAATTTTTTTTTTTTAATTTCTTAAAGACACTTTTTTTTGTTTTTTTAATTTTTTTTAAGCATTTCATCCCAAGCAAGACAGGAATGCCACTAGCATGGAAGGGGTTACAGAAAGTGGGAGCAATAGTAAAAAGGCATGATAGAAGAAAGGATGAAGAGAATGACGGGGAATAGATCAAGGCATCTGGAGATATTGATTGACATTGCATTTGAATATTTGAAGATTATAGCTATCAGGGAAGCAAGTAAGAAGAAGGGAATTCCACAGATGGGAAGTGCAAGACATGAAGCTATTGGAGTAGAAGAGACAGGCACATTTAACCATTTCAACAGTGAAAGGGTGGGACTGAGATGCCAACCTAGTAGCACATTTAAATTCATGTAGTTTCGGAACCAGCAAAAGCTTGTCGGAGCTGTTACTGTGAAAGTATCTGTAGAAAAGACAGAGGGAAGCAACGGCACATCTGTCTTGGTAATACTTTCAATTACTTTTTTGAATGTTCATTGGTCTCTGCTTAATTTTTTCAGTTTCTAACATCGTGTTCCTCTCACACAATAACTTTACAATATCTTTGTTTCTCTTTTGAGATTATATTTTTTGACGCATGGCTATTTTAATTTTATATATCTGAAATTAGAAAATAAGTATCAGTAATAATACTATCAATAGGGATTTCTCTCAAAGAATAATCTTTCATTGTTGTAACAATGGATTGAATATTAGAGGTCCTAATATTTGATAACCTGCAACTAGGCAGGTTATCACATACACAAACACTTAAAAAATCCCAAAGATCCAAATTTTTAAAAGCAATACAGGATTTCGTAACCAAAGACAAACATTACTTGAAGTAATTCTTAATCCTAAAAGAGAGAATCAAAAGCATATTAACAAATATACACAAAAAAGAAAGCCTTGGCCTAATTTCTATTCATTTTGTCAATTTGTTAACAAATTATGCTTATAATAATAGTAATTAATTTATGAACTACCAAATTATACACTTGTTTACTCCATGTATTCTATAACAGGGAGAAAGAGATGATTATATATATATATATATATATATATATATATATAAATAAAGAAAGAACAGTAAGATATATAATCCAGTGTTCTTATTGATATTTTTATTTTTACAAAATAGTGATCAATGTAAATTTACATAGCATTAATATTATAAATTAACCGATTTAAAATATGTTTTTTTCACTACACAGTAATAACCATGTTTCAAAAATGGAAGCTAAAAGCTTCAAATTTAATTTTGTAATTAAATTAAAAACATTAGTTCCATTTCAAAATTCACTTGAGGATGAAATGGAACTAATGTTTTTAATTTAATTACAAAATTAAACTTGAAGCTATTAGCTTCCATTTTTGAAACATGGTTATTACTGTGTAGCAAAAAAAAACATCTTAAATCAGTTAAAATATATATATATATATATATATATATATATATATATATATACACATACATGTAAATAATATATGCACATTAATTTATAAACTCCTAAATTATAAACTTGCTTACTCTCTGTATCTCTCTGTATACTATCAGAGAGAGAGAGAGACATAATAATATAGTGATAATTTTTCAACAAGTATATCCATACACTCCAGTAATTTATTACACATATGCATAAATATACATATTATATATATATATATATATATATATATATATATATATATATATATATATTAAGTTCTGATCTAAGTACAGTATATGTTACCCTGCATAGGAATTGAACTTACATTCTCTTCATTTTAAAAAACTTAATGTTTCATTAGATTAACCTATCTCCCCTGCTGGTTCAGGTGTGTTCTGCCCAAATAGCTCAATTTAAGCCAGTTGTTTTTCTCTAGTAGGGGAAACACTTTCAGTCACTTGGAGAATTCTTGTCAAAGTAATTCAAGAGTGAACAGATTTTCTGTTGCCTGAAAAATATCCTTAAAATAATTTAACAATACAGATAAACAAATTGTTATAGAGGGAATAAACAGCAAGTACAGGCAATTATATAAACTTATGCGTACAGTTATATATATGCAGATATAGTCACATATTTTAAACTTTGAAATTATATATTTGTTCTTTCAGTCATTGGATGTGAAGTAGACATACCTTTTGAACAAAGACATTCTTATATTAAGCACAAAACTGTCTTGGAGGTAACAAAATTGCATTCACTTATCAAAGCATAAAGAACATGCTGAAATTTTATTGCATTGTAAACTGATGTTAAAAAAATACAAAAATAATAACAATGAAACAAAAATAATGATCGATTTATTTACAGACTAATGTCTTCACCTTTGTTGTCAATGTCAATATTTCTTCAGGTAAGCTTGTTCTTCAGGTATATATTAAATTGTTCTAATTCTGCTGTACATGTCTAGAGATATCTCTTCTTTGGTTAATAGTCTTTTTAGTACTGCTCAGTAATTGTTAGACCTATTTCCAGCAAGTTTGAGTCTATCCATACTACCTGTCCTAAGGATTGAATTCACTATTACTATGCCACCAAATTCACTAACCTAAGTTATTGAATTTAGAAATAGGACTTACAATGACTGAACAATACTAAAAGGACAATTAACCAAAGACATGGACAGCAGAATGAGAAAAATCTATCACCAGAGATAGAATAAAGAGTTTAGTTCAAAATTCCCTGAAGTTTACTAAGTCAAGAAACTCCTGAAGAAGGATAGACAGCACAACAGCGGAAATGTTATGCTACAAACAATTAGGACATCAGTCCAACTGTAAAAAAATGATAACTTCTCATCCTAGAAATTCAGACAGAAAATAATGATTTAATTACTGAATGCAGCAAATATAAAAATTTTACAACTAATTTATAGATGCAAATACTTACATATGCATGTATTTAGTAGTCTCCACCTGTCATAATGAACAACAGATATAGTAGCCTAGTAAAGTCATTATAGAGATATTGAATTACTCATGGTTGCCAATAGCTAGACTACACAGAGACGACAAACAATGTAATCATTGATTATAGGTTCAGTGAATGTAAGTAGAATTTGAACTGTTTACTAATTCTGAAGTTTGATAAGGTTATCTAGGTAAAATCAGAAAAAAAGTATATAGAATTGTTGATCATACAATGCTTTAATAAAAAAAAGTGTTGAGAGAATATATAAAAAGTATCAAATACTCATTTCTCAGAGTAAAGAAACAGTTATATTACTTCTACCATGGTGCAGTTGATTGTAGAGGCCTTGTAATGAAAGCGGTGATCTACTTGATGATCACCAACACCATTAAATTGCTATTAAACTAAGATATATATTGTTGTAAAGTATGGCCAGCGTGTGTTGAGGTTGTGGGAGAAACACTCAACAGATTGTTCTCTTAAGAATTATGGCGAGAGAAGGGAAAGAGATGGGAGGAAACAAAAACAACAATGTCTCAGAAATCACAGCTTGGCAAGTGGCACGCAACTTGTGGAACAAAATGTCCAGGGTACAGACTTCACAAGACACTAAGTCTTGCCAACTACTTACTGTTGGTTTTCTTCTTGCTTTTATTGACAGGAGACAGTTGACAGAAACCTGGATCTAGACAAGTTGCAGAGGCCTGTATTTGAACATGCCAAGTGTTCTACTGCTAATGGGGAAAGTTTGGATTTAACTGGTGTTGACAGACATGTCCACATGTTATTCAGGTTTCTTTTGCATCTGTATTGATGAGTGTTCACAACTTATTAACATAAGGCTTCTTTATAAAAAGAAACAAGTTTGTAAAATTTAAAATAACAAAAAAACTATAAATATCAACTCCAATTTTTATCATATGTTATGTATACAAATGTTTGTAGGTCCTTACATTTATTTTTTTTCAAAATGCTGTAGATGATCGAGGGTGAAATTTGTTAATTTAAAAATAATTCCTTATGTTTCAATAAGCCTAGCATTTTTGGAATACTCAGTGAATTTTTGTTGGGGGAGATAAGTGTTTTATCTTCTAAGCAAAGGAACAGTTGATAAAATGGTGGAATAAAGAATATTTATCAAAAATGACACCCACATATATGTGAAATATTTTCCCAAATTATAACTTTTTTTAATTAGGTTTTTTTTTTTTTTTTTTTTTTTTAAATATAATACTGGACAAAAATACTTATATCATTTATTTTTAGAAACTTCACAAATGACATTATTACTTAAGAAAAATGTTGATTTTTTATCATTTGTCCTCTATTTAACTATTAATCACACATTTTGCAATGAAAACAAAGTTACAACTAAATACTGACTTCAGTAATTATATTCCAAATTTGCAGAAAATTTTGCTTTGAATCTTAATTATAATTGAATTGCAATATCATGGTTTTTCCATCATAACAGAATCATTTGTAGATAAAAAGCTAATTGGTGCTAAAAGAGCCAGAGTGTTGAGGGTTACTGTAATCACTTCCTTTTTGTATTCATTCATACAAATCTTTACAAAGTGTTGTGGAGCATTATACTTAAGTATATGTATATATGCAAATATTAACTAATAATATTTTTGCATTAATTTCTTAAGTAAATTTTTAGATGGATCTAAACTACCACTGATTAGTTTTTCTTTATATATATTTTTATTATCAAGTACTGACTTGTTCAATCTTATATCTGCCAAGTGGTGGCTATGTATTCACTGGACATGGACTTTAATTCAACTTGAACTTGTTATTGATTTTTTTCCCCCTCTTAATGTATCGGATAAGAGGACAAACTACTATAAAAGGCAATTTATGTAAGACACCACAACATTTATAAAAGATATTTCACTTTGAGGAAGTTTCAAACACTATCAGAGTCAATATTAAATAGTTTAATAAGTAAACATCTAAAATAATTTAGTTTTATTATTTTAACAATAAAACTATTTTCAGAATTCATGTTTTTTTGTTTTTTTTCAGTCAAGCATTTTGGCATAAAGGTACACTTTGTAAATATACTAAACTATAAAAAAAATTAAAATTCTGCATTAGAAATATTTCAGGAGTGGGAATAATTTGATTGCAAGAATTCTACATTCTGTAAGATAGCTATCATAAAGGAAAAAAGTAAATAAAAGATACCTTAAAATACTTATGATTCTTAGCTCTTTATTCTTCCAACAAAACTATACTCTACAAAAACATCTTATTCAGTAGACATGAAATATTCATTAAACAAGAGGAAAATTATAATTCATTTGTAGGTTACACATGTATACCCACAAAAGAAATAATATTTGTGTCCATAATTTGGTAAATTTCAAAATCAGTTTCACTGAATCTGTTCCACATAGTAGACAACTATACAACATAATGAAGAGGAAGAATAATGAACCAATCAAACAGCTCTATTTTGTTACTCAAAAATCCTAAGCTTAGAGCCTTTAGAACGAAATATAAGCACAGACTGCAACCCAAAAGTTAATAGATACATTTGCTTCAGAAGGATTCCACTTTGGCTACCAGTGAATTCAAAAGGACTGTCACCAAAAATTTACTGGCTACTATCAAGCTTTCAACCATAAACACAGCTGAAAGTTCAACAGACTCCCTCTTTCTGTGTATGTAAATCCTTTCTCTTTTTCACACACATATACATACAGACATTTTATTTAAACTCAAACATCTGAAACAAAGTGGACATTGAAGTCAAAACCCAGTGGTGACAGTCTGTTTCAGGTTTAAATGCAATCGTCAGGCCATACATTCTATCCCTGATACTAAGCACTTTAACCCATAAATACCTTAAAACTATATTTTCATCATATATATATATATATATATATATATATATATATATATATATATATATATATATGTGTGTGTGTGTGTGTGTGTGAAAATATATAGGAAAGAACTGGTTAGGTAAATAATCCAAAGTTCCTTAGTATTTTAGTTATTATTTTAAAAAAAATAGTGCTCGATACAAAAGTAGAGCATAAATATAATTTGTTTGTTTGTTTAACTTTTACAAAAAACAGAGGAATTAATTAACATTAAATAAAAAAATAAATAAATGCTGATACTTATTATTAACACCCAACACACGCCTACCCAATTTAAACAAGTCGCCCTAGCTGTTACCATGGAAATTTTGATTTCAATTATTAAAACACGTAAATTTCTGAAATAAGTTATTCCAAAAAAATTTCGCTTGAAGATGGAACAGAGCTTACTTTAACTCGATTTAATTCAAATAATTATATTGAAGTTTTTGGCTCTTGTTTTGAAACATGAGACCTCTTATGTCGCGAGTTGGAATCATATTTTTAAATAAATAAATAATTATATATATATATATATATATATATATATATATATATATATTTATTTGAGAGGCAGAAAAAGATATATAAAATTATTGTTATCCACAAATATTGAGTTAATCTATTTTGAAATGGGTGACATTTTCTACTGAATTTTGTTAAGGGAGACATGGTTAATCCAAATGTGCCTCCAAATAAATATTAATCTTGGGTCCACTTCATATTAAATAAATTACTTCAAGCTTATATTAGCCCAAGGCTAACTACAGAGCATGACAAAAGTTAAAATAAATG